CCTCGCTTTTGAAGTCATTGCTAAAGTGTATTTACTTTCCATAACGTTGTCATAGTAACTTCAAGAAGCCACTCGTACAATAGTCACTCCTGATTGGTCGATTACTTGATGGTTAACATTTGCATTTATAACTGGAAGACATACAACATGGCGAAAACTACTTTAACTGATCTCAATTTGATAACTGTATTCTATTGTTGAAAATTTCAAAGATGTGAGACGTGATTACGATCACATTGAGTAAAATAATGAGTGTAAATGTTGCTCTATCCTTTGAAGACGATGAAGAGGAAAAGTACTTCTAAAATGTCTAAAATGCTTCGTTTAATGGCAGTAAAGTGAACAAGTGGAGCTCTTGAGTACACAGTACTACACACGCAATATTCAACTCGATATCAAGGAATGAAATATAAAAAAGATATCATGAATTGTGATGCCATTTTTTGAAGATGCTGGAACAAAGTATTACCGAACCCGAAGAGCTAAGCGTTGAGAACTTGGTTAGTACCTTTTATATAAGCATTATATGTATCAGCTTGAAAATTTATTCTTATCAGTGTTTAGAAGTTAAGTAATCTTAACTGATTGTTAGCAGCATTACAGACAGTAGAAGTGAGAATTCTCACGAGTACTGCTGAAATACTCTATTTGAAATTTTTAACTATAAAGTTGACTTTCAATGTCTATGAAAGAAGGAAAGAAAAAAACTAATAGCTCTCTTTGTATTTTCCCCCTAAAGCTTATTTCATATTTCTGTTACTGTTAAACCACGATTTAGCCCTTCATATAAATGACATATAGCTGCGACTGATTTGCTACCCAGGTATACATTCATAATACCCTGGCAAGTGGCACCCCCTCCCCCCCCCCCCTCCACCCCCAGCATAAGGTACCCCCTTAAGAGATCTAAATCTTTAATTTCCTCATATTCAACTAGCCAGGCTTTCTATTCCATACATCTTGCAATTCGAGGTCTTCTCTCTGACATTTTTCTTCTTTTTCTTTGTTTTACAGGAAGTGTTCTTGGAAGAGCAGACATTTGTTGACTATTTCAACACATTCCTTGCCTTACCAGTAAGTCTAACACTTTATGAGAATGCTGTAAATGAAGACTCATTATTCATTAATATATATATTTACTTTAATTCAACATACATGAATACTCATCTAAACATAAATAACTCAAACATGAGGCCCTGTATTCCTCTTTCTGCATATCATCTAGTCTGCAGAGTTACCATTGACTCTCATCATCTGACACTCTACAATACTTTATCTAAACTACATGGGGGGGGAGGGGTGCTCATCATAAGGGCTCCAGATCTATGATTTGGTACCATGTACACAAATATAAAAGGACCACCAGAGTACAACCTGTAGACTTTTACAAAGTCTGCCCCCCTCTAGTTCTGTTTGTCATTTGCTATGCTCAACAAACGTGATGTCAACAAATTAACGAAGCAAGGGTTAGAAAGTCGGTATCTCCTAGAACGTTTATCAGTCAATAAGATACCTGAGGTTAGGGAATGAAAGTTGAAATAACATAATATTACTTTGGGAACATCTTCCAGTCATGACTTCTGTCACCTAGCAAAGAGGGTTATGAAGGGGGAGTCACAATCCCATTTCCCAGCCCAAATTTTGACCAAAACCCATTGTCCAAGCCAATGTTTTTCCCATATCTCAATCCCATTTCCATTTTTTGTTTGTTTTTTGTTCGTAAATACCATTCCATTCCCAGTGCATAAAATTACATTTTCCCAGCCCCAAGAGTCAAATCTCAGCTCCAATTTTATCCCTTCAGGACTCTTGGACTGCAGACCTGATTGATACCTTTAGGGGTAGAATTGGATTGGGACAATTGGACAGGCTGTTAGTCCTATTTCCAAACCTAGTATTTTAAAGTTAGAAATTAGTTTGAATATTCACAATATTGCCTTTCATTATTTTATTTTATTTTGGAAAACATGGGATTCCATAAACTGAGGGATTGGACTGGACTCTGGTTAACTGGATCTTGGATGAAAAAAAATCATCGAATTTTGAGGTTTTGAAAGAGTAGAAATAATCTTTATGTATAAAACAAACATTTCCAACGTCTAGAATTTGATTTATGCTTCTAGATTCTGAGTTTTGAAAGATTTTTTATTTTGGAAAATCAGGAACCGAGCATAGGTGGACTGGACTGGACGTCGGTTTACTGGATCGTGCGGATCGTAAACGTTTTTTTACCCCGAATTTGCAGCTTTTATGCTATAATTTTTATTTTGATATTCATAACTAGTAATTATATGTTGAAAACTTTCAAGAAATAAAGATTTAATTTTTTTCATAATTAGTGGAAAGTGTAATGGATATCAGACCACAAACATTTTTGCCTGACCAACATTTTTGATTGACCAACAGTCAATCAATAAAGTATTTTTGAGAGTTGTATGTGTAACCAAAGACTATTAATAAAGAAATCATGTTTTCCTGAGGTTTTACGTTTTCCACTTGTAGTTGAACCAATGTCATTGACAGCCAAACACATGTAAATTTTGTTATATTTTTAATTTCAATGTATTTTTATTAACATTTCCTCGATTGCTGCTAAATTTTCTGGAGATTCTTATAGGAATCAAGTAAAAGCTTCTTGTAGTACCTCGTTTACGAAATTATTATAATTTGTACTAAAAATGCTCAACACTTCATAATAGAGTGTAGTTCACATGACGTCACAGTGGCCATGTTGGTATACCAAAACAAAACGTTTGCTATCCTCCGGGACTTGTACTCTATTTTTATTCAAGAAGTGTGTAGAAAGTTTCTATTGTTTGGTTTACCAATATGCCTGCCTTCCCACGTGAGTGAAAACGCTCAATATTTACTTCTTTCTCTAGGAAAAAATACTAGTAAAAAAGCATTTTTTGGCACACAAGTCAAGCATGCAAACCGAGTGAGTTTTTATATTAATCATTGCTGTTATTATTCGTCTTCCTCGTTTAGTGTTTTGCAGAACGTCTGTTTTACAACAAAGAGTTCGCCCAGTTTGAAGAATTTATAGAAAGGCTCGCTGACGACGTAGGAGCAGGTGATGCTCATGCAGCATCGCAGCTAAGAAAACTGACTCATTTTAAAGGAACGATCTACAATGTGACAAATAACCAGTCAAGAATAGGATACTACGTCATGGTGCTCGATAAAGCTCAGGGGCTTGATTATGTGAAGAAGTATAGAGTACCTTTGTTTCTTAGAAGCGAGTTGTATGCGGAGTATAAACTGACGATGGTGCTTTCCACTGTACAGGTTTGTAGCTAGTTTTTTGTTAGAATCGTTTCCGGTAAATATCAACGAGGTTTTTTGGGGGGAGGGGGACGCTGAAATGCTCTACAAAGTGCAGTAGCAACAACAAAACAATAACAACACCAACAATAACAAACAATAACAAAAACGACGACGACAACTGAGCTTGAAAGCTACGGCAACAATGAAAAAAACAACACCAACAACAAAAACGAAAACAGCAGACACAGCAACAAACTGAAAAATAGCAACACGACAGCAACATCGAAACAACAACAACAACAACAACAACAACAATAATAACAGCAAGGTTATGTAAAGATACAGACACGGTGCAACATTGCATGCAATCAAGAGACCAACATTCGAACAATTTTAGACCGTGTGTCTGCGCCTTAACAAACTTGTGCAGCATAAGCATCACTACAATGATGACTTTTCTTCCAGATTTTGCACAAATTCTTTCATAATGTTTTTTATTTTTCCATTGGTCTTTCTGTAGTCTACATTCCTGGGTGACTTCAGGATGGACGAAGAGTTCAGCATCGTAGCAAGCACAACCATTAGCAACCGAAAACGAAGCGCTGTAAGCTTCAACTTAAGCAGCCCCGACCGTGAGGACTTCAGCTCCTTAGGAGAACGAAGCACAGCAGATTCGCCGCACATTCGCACACTCGACGATACTTTTTCAGCCTGGAATGACTCTTTTAGGCGAGCAGACAGTCGAGGAAGTTTGTATAGTTACGCTGGAGGTAGTCAGTTCTCAAGAACTCCAGATATCGTATTTGAAGATGGATCTGAGTCAAGTACGACTTCGTCTTGTGAGAATGATAAAGAAACCGATTCACGACCTTCATCTCGTATGAGTTTTGTAAGCAATGTTTCTGGTGTGTCTGCTAATTCCGTTTCAATATCAAATGCTGGATCTGTCAAGTCAATCGAAAGTGAAGGAAGCATTCGCTGTGTTGGAGAAAAAAGACCTGAGCCAAATTCACAGATATCTGGAGAAAATATAACTGAAGATAAAACTATGGAAAATGAGAATGCAACAGATAGTAATGATGTTTTAAATGAAGACTTTAAGAAAAGCATTTCAAACGAAATTTTTGCAGAAATTTCGCACGACAAGTCTACTATGCACAAAGAAAACTCAAAAGAAAAAGAAGTTGGGTTTTCTAACGGTGATAAAGACTTGAGAGAAAGCGTAGACTTTGACAACACTTTAAGCGGAAAAAATGAAAGTCAAAATATTGTGGATGATTCCGAAACGGGTGAAATTTCGAAAAAGAGCGAAACTTTTGCTCCCGAGCAACAGAAGGAAAGAGTTAAATCACTTCCTTCGTCACCAGAATCTTCAGCGAGAGAAAACGCTGAGGTGCTAGAAAATGAAGGAATGACTTCTTTAAAATCATCTCGCATATCTTCTGCTCCATCTAAAGGAGATGAAAAACAAATGATTGAAGCAGAAATTATTTCGCGGCCTTCAGAAGCAAAGGAAGAATTGGTTGAAAACGAAAAACTAGTCGAGATGCCAAAAAGTCAACCATCTACGAGTAATTCCGATTTCAGTAGTGAAGTCTCGATACCAATAATCGTGTCTGACGATGGACATTCGGGAACAGCCGACGAAGTATCGATTAAAGACAGAAGTTTTTCAATTGCTACGAAAGAACACGAAAATTCAAAAACTGATCGAACAGAAACGACCAATGGGATACCGAGTATGACTGAGAATGAAGTAGAAGAAGGAAGAATAGGAAAAAGGCCTAGAAACATAGGAAGTGGTGATTCATCAAACAGAGATATTACGTCGGTACAAGAAGAAGATGAAGACAACGAAAGCGAAGATAAGAAATCCGAAAAACTAATTGACCTTACAAATGTAGGCGATGAAGGAGAACTAGGGTCTGAAGATCCTAACCTGGACGTTGAAACTGGTAGCCAATACACACTGAAAGGAATACAGGGGATTCTGAATGCAAGACGGAGAGTCAGTATCGCTGCTACGTCAGTAGGGTTTGATTTAGATGATATAGACGGTTTAGATGATGATGATTGGTGTGAGGAGGATAAGCCTTATGACCTGTCTACGAAGGAAGGATTGGACGAGTTTAAGGAGTTTTTGTTGGGCACTAATGGCGAGAAGTTTTTGAGATTCTGGATTGAAGTGGAATGTGCGAAATATGTGGAAGACGATTCCGAGACACAAATGTAAGTTATTTTAAAACAAACATGTCGGGGGCGCATATCTATGAATCCCAATGGGAGAACCTACGTAGCAAGCAGCTGATGTAATGTATTTATAAAAATACAATGAATCAGGGCCTGATACAATAGATAGACGACCAAAAAGATTTTCTGAATACATTACATGTACATCAATTTAGTGTTATGTTGTGTGATTTCTAATGAGGGTTGAAGTCAGTTCTTAGTTACCTTAACAAACCAACCTACCCTCCCCTCCCCTTCCCCTAAACACATGCACATTAAGATGACATACACAATGACAGGCTGGTGTAAGAGTGTCCTCTGTAAAGTCTCCTCACTCAGATATTTCTAATTACAGCATAACTCGAACGATCATTGAGAAGTACTGGAAGACAGGATCGCTGTATGAACTGTCACGTGATGTCAAGAGAAAGCTTGGGTTGGAAGACTCGTCTAAAGTGACGTACACGAAAATTATGGATGAACATTATAAAGTATTAGACCCGATTATGAATTATTGGTAAGTTTCATGGTTTCATGTTTCATCCCTCCATTCATCTATCCTTCCATCCATCCATCCATCCATCCATCCATCCA